ACCTAGCAGGCCGAAACCCTGACCCCTGAACCCTCATCCTTGAAAAATCTGAACCACAAATTAAAAAAAATACAGCCTGCAGGAAATCTGAACTTTTTATGGCCCCTACAAAACTCTCACAAAGTTGTCGCCTGCAGCGCAGTAGCCTCAGCGGCCCCGGGTGCTGAGAAGTGGGGCACGGCCTGACCCCACGCGGTTTACGCTTATATTTAGGACTTAAGTTTACAATGTTTCGAGTTTGGAGTTCAGGATTTGGAGTTTTGGTTTTGGGTTTGGGGATGCGCCTTTCCCTGAACTGACATGGATTCTGATAAGGAGACCTGGGACGACAATCCAAGAGGGGCCTCTGTGGGTTTGTATGTTTCCTTGAGGGAGGGAAGTTTCAGGATTCATGAGTTATGATATGCAGGTTGCATGGAAGCTATTTGAGATGGCAGAAACCTACTTGAAGGAACCTGAAAGCAGGCCTATCAAAAGAGTAATGTCCTGAAGGGTGAGCCTATGGGGTCCGTCCCTGTGAGGCTAGCTCTTGGATTCCTACAGAGACCCTCACCCACAACCACTAAGGCCTCAGTAAGGCTTGACGAAGGGCTTATTGAGAATTATCTGCTTTTTGGGGAAGGGGTGGCTGCGGGCGTGGGCCTGCGCAAGGCATAGGGGTGTGGAGCGGGGAACGAGGCTTGGGAACTAGTTGGTTTGGCAGGTTCATGGCTCTTTACTTGAGGTGTGGAGTTGGGGCCTAGGGTCACAAATTTGGTATTTGCAAGGTACCGGTGGGTGCACATGGCCTTCAATAGTGGGCATCTCAGATCAGGATTGATGCGACCCTTCAACCTCTCGGAGCACAGTGATCCTGCTGAATCCATCTGTGCCGCAAGATGCCCCCCAATTGGGGGTTTATGTCCCGCTTCCTCTCTGCATCTGTGATAACTGTACTCCGAAGTACGTTACACAAGCACTGAAGCAAGATGATCGGACTTCTATTCAACATGGCGCTTAGTATTTCTGCAGCCTGCAAGTAGAGGTTACTCCTGCATCCTGAACTCCAAAATCAGCGGCAAAAAAAAGCAAACTCACGCCGATGCCACAGCAGCGGTTGAGCGTCTATAGGGATTAGGGACATGTTCCCAAAACACAAGCTCCATCATGAGCTCCGGAATACTGCAGGCCTTGAGCACATAGTAAAACATGACCTATAAGCACCCTCACGGCCCCCGATATATGCCGTAAGATGCTTCGAAACCCGAATGTCTCAAAGAAGGGTACACTGAAGGACACTGAAGGACGCTGCGGTTAGAATAGTGTTGGTATTACAAGGGTCTGTATTTGTGGTTCTGGCAGAGTCAAGTTGAGAACCCCAATCTGGGCCACCGTGCAGAATACGCATTGTGGAAAGTCACCTCTGGGACAAACCCGGCTTTGGGGCTTGAATTTTGAAATAAGTTTGGGATGGGGGTCTGAGGTTTAGGTTTGAGTGGGCGTTGAGAAATAGGATTAGGATTTAGGTGATGGGGTTTAGGTGTTCGGGCTAGGATCTAAGGGATGTAGGGCTTGGCCTCTAATCGGAGCCTGAAGATCATGGCAGTTGTGAGAGATAGGGTCTCCAAATGCATGTCCAACCGTAAGTGCCCCGTAAACAGGCGCCATCTTGCCCAGATCCAGCAACGCCCCCACCTTTGCTGCTCAAGAATGGACTAGACAATGAACCAACGCTGGGGTTTTTGTTACAGCCACCCCAAGGTAGACCGCGCATCTAGCAAATGGGGAACCATTGTACATTCCCTTCTATTTGCGAGTACAGCCCCTAAATCCAAATCAGCATGCAACTAAGCATCCAGCATAGGCGCTCTGAGACACCTCAGGGCATTTTCGACCTGAGAGCATAAACAGATCATGTGGATGCCCTGGCTTTCAAGGCTTTGGGTTTAGGCTCGGGGTGCATTGAGGGCCTGAAGGGTTCAGGGCTTGGTACGGTCCCCTTCGAAGGATGCATTTGCATCATGTGCTTGCCCTGCATTGTCATTAGCAGGTGTACCGGGCACATCGAAACATCGTCCCTCAACGTGCCGCAGGTTATGGGACCGATGGGGGCGAAAAGGGATGTCCTGGCCTTGGGTTGGCCTTTCTTCATTATCCTTCACAGGGGATGCAAGTGTTATAAAGAGGTTCTAGGGACCTCTAGCTGAATAATGGAGAATCAATAGAAAAGGCTATAGTCCTAAGAGATGGCACCCACAACACAAAGTTGATAGAGATTTCGAAACGCTACACGTAAACCAAGTGCAAGCCTTGGCCCAGTAGCTACATACCAAAAACCAATGACCTTACAAAGAAGCCACATAAGCCCAGAATCTTGCAACATACAGACCATAGCCTCCAACAACAAATGGCAGCCGCGCATGACCTGACGGACAAAAAACTCAATGAAACGGCCACATCTCAACATAGTAGCTCCTGATGCCAACGACATGACCCTCATGCTGTACAGCTTCCCCTGCGATCCATATTCCAGCTCTAGCTGGTACCTCTAACGGAAAGGACAGGATGAAGCCCCAAAATCAGTGGCCAGTCTGCAGCTAGTCCACAGCTGAGGTTCCCAAAGACCCCGAACCTCACCACTGCACCCCCGCAAGAATGAGTCCATCCAATCCTTGCTTGAACCCCAGTGAGCTGCACACCAGTGCACTGCAAGCATCGAGCATGGGAGGCATGTGAGCACGACACAACCTGCAGCAACAGCAAGAAAGGTATATCCCAAGCAGGGAAGACAGCCGCCTAAAACGCTGGCCTAAGCCCTTTTCTATGCAGAATTAGAATCGTAGAGGAAATGCTTTGAGAGTCTATGAGAATTCGGTTGGCATGAATGCTGGGGCAGGATCGATGGTGTCGGTTCGGACTGAGGATTTCGGGTGGCACCGCCAAGTACATGGAGTCGAGCTTAAAGCATTATCGCCTTTTCAATTCCTTTGTTCCCCCTCCAGCACTGCATCAACGGCCCATAACCCTAAACCCGAATCCCACACTATGAAGCCCAAATTCGGGAGCCCCCATAAACCCCAAAAGCCAAAGCTTTGGCGCGCCTCCTGCAGGGAGAACCGATGCTTCGGGGAGGCGTTGGCAGCTTTGGCCTCCACCTCCGCGTGCGCGGTGGTGGTTTTCATCCAAAGCCCTAACTAGGGTTTAGGGTTTAGG